TGTATTCATAATACATAATCATACACAATTTATTCATAAATTTGTATATTATGCACTTTTACTTATAAACAATAATAATCTCATTTAGGCATTTTGTTATATTATAAATAAATCATGCCAAACACATATAATTCATTTAGGTAATCTTATGAAATTAACCCAATAATTATAAGCAATATAGTCGGTCATCCTCACCTTAATTGAGCTTCAAACCTTTCTTTCTTGATCCCATGGTCAAAGCTTTGGCCAAGGAAGATTGAGAACTGATTCCTTGCTTGGAATTGAGTGTTAAACAGCCTCTCCAAAGTGCTAGTTCAACTCCTAACCGAGGACACAAAAACAGTCCCTAGAACGGGTGTTCCCGACGAAATCGTTCCCTAACCTTTCAAGGTTTTGTCTAGATTAGTATCTAACTTTTCCAACAATTAAAGTCACTTTATAATAACATTTTATACACTTCAATCAGTGTATAACAGTTCTTCAATCATTTATATGGTTTAGACAATAGAGAGGAAAGTTTTGGATTCAAACTTACCTTGAATACAAAAACGTATTCCGCGAGGTTGTGTTTTTCTCGGACGATTTGGAAGCCTTCCACTACTCCGATTGATGCAAACCAGACCTTCACGGATTCCTCGTCTTGAGAGCTTTCTGTGGGTATCTCGCACGCCTTATTTGGATGTGTATAACTCGAGATATGAAGCAAACAAGTAACCTTACGCACTGGAAAACGAACCTGCGGCAGCTTCCCCTTTCTCTTGCTTTCTTGGTTGTGTGGCTCTCTCCTTCTCCCTTATCCTTGGGAGTTCGAATGAGGGGCTTAAGGGAGTGTCCAAGACCCTTCAATAAGGGTGGATAAGTTGTGTGGAGTGAAATGAATTGGTATGGTCTCCATGAGATGTTTTTAGACATGGGTGGGTCTCACTTTTGATCTCTTTGTCATAAGATGTCTCTTTGTACTCATTCTAATTTATTTAGAACAAGTCAACTCTCTACATCGTATTATTGATCTCCATTATGTGTATGATCATCCCAATAATTTACTTGATGGATATTATAGAAGGAAAATCCTACTCCCATTATTTAGCTCAATAATGCCAAAGATGGGGTTATAGGCATTTGTATTCTTCTTTAATCATTCTATCACTTATTTGACATTTGTCATACATATTAATGGGCTACTAGCCATGTGGGTCACTCCCGAGTGGGTCTAGAACGCCATTCTCGAATACTTGCTATTTTTAGCAGGTTGGACTCAAAATAACGTTTGGGCCGTCCGACCTTACTCGGACTGTCTTGAAAGGTCATGTATCACAATTTGGATAATGTTGGGCTCTTTTATTTATTAATAAGACCCAAATAGTATTTGCATGCCCGTCACTAATATACGAGTTCGAACAGTACACTAATCGATCATTAATTACGTAAAACATTAATCGTTTTACAATTGTTTGGGAAACAGAAATCCAATACATAAGCTTTGAATTTTTAAATCAAATTTTCAAGGACGTTCGGGCGCGGTGTCACAAGGTCACCCCCCCCTTAACAGGAATTTCGTCCCCGAAATTCACAGCTCTACTCGAATAGGAAAGCATACTGCTTCCTCATCAAAGCCTCTGTTTCCCACGTCTCTTCTTCGACCCGATCGCTCTTCCAAAGTACTTTAACCATTGGGACTTCTTTGCTCCTCAGTTTCTTCACCTTCCTATCGGTGACCTTGATAGGTTGCACAGCGTAGTTCAAATCCTCACGTACCTCTACAGGTGGTTCCTTCAATACGTGAGAGGGATCATGCACATACTTCTTAAGCATGGATACATGAAATACATTATGTATCTTCTCTAATTCAGGAGTTAACTGCAGACGATATGCTACGGCCCCAATCTTTTCTATAATTCTGAATGGACCTATGTATCGGGGATTAAGCTTTCCTCGGGTTTGGAATCGTATGATTCCTTTCCAAGGAGAAACTTTCAAGAATACCTCGTCATCAACCTTAAACTCTAAGGTTCTCCGGCGCTTATCTGCATAACTCTTTTGTCTATCCTGAGCCGCCTTGAGTCTCTCTCGAATCAACTTTACCTTTGACTTGGTGATCTCCACCAACTCAGTACCCTCGAGTTTGGCCATGCCAACCTCGTCCCAGCATAACGGTGTACGACACCTCCTCCCATACAATGCCTCGTATGGAGGCATGCCGATGCTTGCCTGATAACTGTTGTTATAGGCGAACTCCACAAGTGCTAAGTGGTTGTCCCAACTCCCTTGGAACTCCAATGCACACGCCCTCAGCATGTCTTCTAAGATCTGTATGACTCTTTCAGACTGTCCATCTGTCTGTGGGTGGAAAGCAGTACTGAACTTCAACCTCGTTCCCATAGACTCTTGAAATTTTGGCCAAAAACGTGACGTGAATCGTGGGTCTCTATCGGATACAATGGTCACTGGAACACCATGTAACCTCACGATCTCGTCCGTATACAATTTGGCTAACCTCTCGAGTGGGTAGGTAGTGTTGATAGGTAAAAAGTGTGTCCTCTTTGTGAGCCTATCAACAACAACCCAAACCGCGTCATAGTTCCTGATAGTCCGTGGTAAGCCTACCACGAAATCCATAGTCACGTGCTCCCACTTCCATTCAGGGATGGAAAGTGGTTGTAATAAGCCTGCTGGATGCTGATGTTCTGCCTTAACTTGTTGATAAGTAAGGCATCGACTGATGTACTCGGCTATTTCCCTCTTCATCCCAGACCACCAGTAACTTTCTTTCAAATCACGGTACATTTTCGTGCTCCCAGGGTGCATGGCATAAGCCGATGAATGAGCCTCCTCTAAGATGGACTTTCGGAGCTCATCATCTGACGGTACACACACTCGGTCACGAAATAACAAGAGACCATCGTCTCTTTCCCTGAAATCCTCCACCGGTCCCGCTTGCATGCGTTCCCGGACCTTCATAAGTTCTGTGTCCGTCTCTTGACCCTTCTTGATCTCCTCAAGTAAGGTTGGTCTCACTTCGAATCGTGCCAATAAGGCACCGTCGTTAGATACATCCAATTGGGCCCTCAGTGCCCTCAAACTAGTCAACAATGCCCCAGACGAACTCTTCCGACTGAGGGCATCTGCTACAACGTTTTCCTTGCCTGGATGGTACTCAATAACTAGATGGTAGTCCTTTATCAACTCCATCCACCGTCTCTGTCTCATGTTTAACTCTTTCTGAGTAAACACGTACTTCAAGCTCTTATGATCAGTATATATGTGACACGTCTCTCCGTAGAGATAATGTCTCCAAATCTTCAGTGCAAACACTACTGCTCCAGCTCCAGATCATGGGTAGGATAATTTACCTCATGCTTCTTCAACTGTCGCGAAGCATAGGCAATTACCCTCCCCTCCTGCATCAACACACACCCAAACCCTTGGATGCTCGCATCACTATAGACATCGTACCCCATGCCCTGTCAACCTCTTCTTCAGTTCGATGAATCCTTTCTCACATTTGTCATCCCATATAAACTTAGTTCCCTTTCGAGTGAGCTTCGTCAACGGCGATGCCAAAACTGAGAACTTCTCCACGAATTATCTGTAGTAACCCGCTAGCCCGAGGAAACTACGAATCTCCTTCACGTTCTTAGGCCTTTCCCATTATGTGATAGCCCCAATCTTCTTGTTATCCACGGCAATGCCTGACTCAGAAACTACATGCCCAAGAAAGCCAATCTCTTTAAGCCAAAACTCGCACTTAGAGAACTTGGCGCAAAATTGCTTCTCTCGTAGTGTTTCAAGATCCAGGACCAAGTGCCGCTCATGTTCTTCTTCACTCCTTGAGTAAATTAAGATGTCATATATGAACACAATCACAATTCGGTCCAAGTATATATGAAATACTCGATTCACCAAGTCCATGAATGCCGCTGGGGCGTTTGTTAACCCAAACGACATAACAAGGAATTCAAAGTGCTCATACCTTGTGCGAAAAGCACTTTTTGGTATGTCATCTTCCTTAATCTTCGGTTGATGGTAACCCGACCTCAAGTCAATCTTTGAAAACATAGTCGCCACTCGTAGTTGATCAAACAAGTCATCAATCCTAGGCAAGGGATACCTATTCTTGATTGTGACCTTGTTCAGTTGACGATAGTCAATACACATTCGAAGTGTCCCATCTTTCTTTTTCACAAAAAGAACTGGTGCTCCCCACGGGGAGTGGCTTGGTCTAATGAAACCATTATCCAAAAGCTCTTGCAATTGGGTTTTCAACTCGTTAAGTTCAGCGGGTGCCATACGGTATGGCGGTATGGAGATTGGTTTGGTACCAGGCTCGACCTCGATCACAAATTCAATCTCCCTATCAGGTGGAAGCCCCGGTAGGTCTTTAGGGAAGACATCCGGATACTTACAAACCACCCTCACATCATCGATGTTCGTTTCCTCTTTGGTTTTGTCAACCACGTATGCTAGATATGCGTGGCATCCCTTTCTCATCATACTTCTCGCTCTCACGGCGGATATGATACAGCTATTTGATCTCCCTCGATCGCCCTCGAAGCGTAGGGTCTCCCCATCATTGCCTTCGAGTTTAAGAACCTTCGTGTAGCAATCTACCCTAGCATGGTTCCTTTCTAGCCAATCCAACCCTAGGATTGCATCGAATTCAATCATGCTCAGCGGTACGAAGTCACACGTCAAGGTTTGACCATTAACTTCCACCCCACAAGATGGATAGTAATGAGTTGTTTCCACGTCATCCCCTAGTGGTGTTGATACCACTAAGGTTTGCATCAATGGTGCGGATTGCACTTCCAAACTCTTGGCGAACGCTTCATTCACAAATGAACGTTGCGCCCCGGTATCGATAAGGATTCGCGCATCCTTCCCATTAATCTTTAGTGTCCCTACATTCATGAACCATGTAAGACATCTTTCCTACCCTCCCTACTCATTTAGAGAGGTTTATTATGTTCACACACGTGTTTGGGATCAAGAACGGGTCTTAACGTTGCAATACGGCGCGAAAAAGTCGACTTTGGGCTGTCCAGGAGGTACGCACGGCGTGCCTAGGAGGTACGCACGGCGTGCGTGTCTTATAACCTCAAAACGGAGCTACTGCCACCAACGCACGGACCAACGCACGGACAACGCACGTCCGTGCGTATAGCAATTTCTTCCCGGTTGCTACTGCCACCAACGCACGGACCAACGCACGGACAACGCACGGCCGTGCGTATAGCAATTTCTTCCCGGTTGCTACTGCCACCAACGCACGGACCAACGCACGGACAACGCACGGCCGTGCGTAGGGTCCAGCCTGGTGTGCATTGGCGGAAATCAGCCGTCTTTCGCCCGATTTCGCTCCGTTTGATCCCAAAATTTCGTGCAATGATCCCAACGATTAGTAACCTTAATTTATGGACTAATTAAGGATAAAACACTAGTATACGGGAGGCAATACCTGCAACGGAATCCGGGTTAGCTTGAGCATCCGCCTCTATCATCGCATAGACCCTAGCTTGGGTCCTTCCTTGGTTCACGGATGGCGCATTGCTCGTGCTTGCTCCCCCATGTCCCCTGCTCCCTTGAGAAACCTCGGTTTGGTTTTCATTTCTTGTAGTTCCACCACTTGACCCCGAAGTTTGGTTTTGCACAATTTGTGGGCAGCTCACTCTCGTGTGCCCGACCTCTGTGCAATGATAGCACTTAGGAGGGTCGTGACACTTACCCGAGTGGTGTTTCTTGCAATTGTTGCACCTAGGTACCCTCGGACCCTTTGACCTCGAGTTCTGGCCACCCGAGCCCCGACTCCACTCAAGTGATAGTGTCTGCGCCCTGAAGGTTTTGTCACCCTCAACGTTTGTCCTTCTTGAATGTCTTTGGGAATCGTTGTCTCCCCACCTCCTTTTCCTTACTAACGGTATGCCCTCAGCTTGCCTAGCTTGGCGTTTTTGTATAAGCCTCACACGTTCACGTTGAAGCCAATCTATGACCATGCCCATTTGTTCAATGGGTGCACCATCAAGGTTCTCATCACTCAAATCATCTCCCTCGTCACCCGAAGCCTTGAGTGTTTCAATTTTGCTATGACAAGGTGATTCTTCATTGGTTCTAACATGACCGCCACTCACGATTTGAGCTTCTAGAATTTCGTGAACCTTTATTCCTACAGGCTTTTCTCGGTTGGCATGCCCGGTTCCACCCGGTGCAAACCCTTCCGAGTTCTCCCTATTCATAGTACCACAATCACCCTCCATCACTGAAAGAAATAATTGGAATGAGTCATTAGACTCGTTTCAAATGTCAACTGACAGATAGGTACTTAAGACATCTCTTGGGCCAAGTCGCCGCCATACCAATGGTTAAGGGCGCCATCTTAACAATTAGAGACCTTGCAACTCAAACACCAAAAGTTCTTAAGTACAAAACATTTTTGCTCATGTTTTTCAAAAATCATTTTGAAAAGAGAATTTTGAGACTTCATTATGAAGTTTATGGACTAAGGCTCTGATACCAATTAAATTGTCACGCCCCGGACCTACCGGACACGTCAACAACCCGCCGTACAGTACGAATAGTCAACCGCAGTCCAACTCATACATACTATACTAGGCGTCTTGAATACCATTCACACATAGTACATCCATAAACAAACATAATGTAAAATATTCATTTAAAGCAGCGGAAACATTAATACACGTATTCAAGCCACACGTGGCAAACATGGGCATACAAGCCCCCAAATAGTATTCAAAATAATTTCCATGAGCATTATTGTAATTGTTTAAAACAGAAACGGAAGAAGCACGAACCACGTCCTCCTCCTTTGATCTTCCCGAAGCAACGGGCGTGGTAGCAACCTTCAAGTCCTACCTGAAACTGTGAGGTGGCCTCCCCCGTGAAGGGGAGGTCAGTACTTGGAAGCATTTGACAAGTACAATGACAACTATACTAAGTATAATCAACGTTTCAATTTCCAAGACCCTCAAATAGGGTGATATTACAATATAGGTCATAACTCGTGGTTACCCTCTTTACAAATATACTTACTTTATATATAAAGTCAAGTAGTCGGCCGAAGGCTCATGTTTACTTTGAAAACATTTAACCCCTCCCCCGTGACTTCAAGCCACACCCATCTATATCAGTTTACCATGCTAGAGGCTTCCTCTAGTCATGTTTTGTCGTGCTAGAGGCTGACTTTAGTCACTACATTCGGTGTTAGAGGCTTCCTCTAATCACCTTTCGTACTTTGTGCTGGAGGCTTCCTCCAGTCACATTACATTATGCTAGAGGCTTCCTCTAGTCATGTTTTGTCGTGCTAGAGGCTGACTCTAGTCACTACATTCGGTGTTAGAGGCTTCCTCTAATCACCTTTCATACTTTGTGCTGGAGGCTTCCTCCAGTCACATTACATTATGCTAGAGGCTTCCTCTAGTCATCTTACACTACGCTAGAGGCTTCCTCTAGTCGTCCTACACGAATGCTGGAGGCTTCCTCCAGTCATTCCTCATCGTGCTAGAGGCTTCCTCTAGTCACGATACTACTCACTAAGCAAATTCTATGCCTAGGTTTTCTCTATCTTGAGTAGCCTATGAGGCCTACTCCTAATGTAATTTAGCGGTTACCCATTCCTACCTTAAGACATCTCATAAGACTACTTAAGGTGCATCCTTCACAATCCAAGCCCTTAGGATTTGTTCTATCACTTTTTACGCTAACATCCCCGGCTAGTATTTCTATACTAATCATTTAACCTTAATAAGCCAATGCAATTTCATAGTAATTTGGCTATTTCAATTTAATTCCACATTCAAGTATAACTTGGTTCTAATATCAAAATATCACTTTTATCCTTCCATGACTTCCTTACATGAGGTAAAAGTATATTTATCACAATTCATTTATAGTTTACACGCTATTATACCATTGTATTCATAATACATAATCATACACAATTTATTCATAAATTTGTATATTATGCACTTTTACTTATAAACAATAATAATCTCATTTAGGCATTTTGTTATATTATAAATAAATCATGCCAAACACATATAATTCATTTAGGTAATCTTATGAAATTAACCCAATAATTATAAGCAATATAGTCGGTCATCCTCACCTTAATTGAGCTTCAAACCTTTCTTTCTTGATCCCATGGTCAAAGCTTTGGCCAAGGAAGATTGAGAACTGATTCCTTGCTTGGAATTGAGTGTTAAACAGCCTCTCCAAAGTGCTAGTTCAACTCCTAACCGAGGACACAAAAACAGTCCCTAGAACGGGTGTTCCCGACGAAATCGTTCCCTAACCTTTCAAGGTTTTGTCTAGATTAGTATCTAACTTTTCCAACAATTAAAGTCACTTTATAATAACATTTTATACACTTCAATCAGTGTATAACAGTTCTTCAATCATTTATATGGTTTAGACAATAGAGAGGAAAGTTTTGGATTCAAACTTACCTTGAATACAAAAACGTATTCCGCGAGGTTGTGTTTTTCTCGGACGATTTGGAAGCCTTCCACTACTCCGATTGATGCAAACCAGACCTTCACGGATTCCTCGTCTTGAGAGCTTTCTGTGGGTATCTCGCACGCCTTATTTGGATGTGTATAACTCGAGATATGAAGCAAACAAGTAACCTTACGCACTGGAAAACGAACCTGCGGCAGCTTCCCCTTTCTCTTGCTTTCTTGGTTGTGTGGCTCTCTCCTTCTCCCTTATCCTTGGGAGTTCGAATGAGGGGCTTAAGGGAGTGTCCAAGACCCTTCAATAAGGGTGGATAAGTTGTGTGGAGTGAAATGAATTGGTATGGTCTCCATGAGATGTTTTTAGACATGGGTGGGTCTCACTTTTGATCTCTTTGTCATAAGATGTCTCTTTGTACTCATTCTAATTTATTTAGAACAAGTCAACTCTCTACATCGTATTATTGATCTCCATTATGTGTATGATCATCCCAATAATTTACTTGATGGATATTATAGAAGGAAAATCCTACTCCCATTATTTAGCTCAATAATGCCAAAGATGGGGTTATAGGCATTTGTATTCTTCTTTAATCATTCTATCACTTATTTGACATTTGTCATACATATTAATGGGCTACTAGCCATGTGGGTCACTCCCGAGTGGGTCTAGAACGCCATTCTCGAATACTTGCTATTTTTAGCAGGTTGGACTCAAAATAACGTTTGGGCCGTCCGACCTTACTCGGACTGTCTTGAAAGGTCATGTATCACAATTTGGATAATGTTGGGCTCTTTTATTTATTAATAAGACCCAAATAGTATTTGCATGCCCGTCACTAATATACGAGTTCGAACAGTACACTAATCGATCATTAATTACGTAAAACATTAATCGTTTTACAATTGTTTGGGAAACAGAAATCCAATACATAAGCTTTGAATTTTTAAATCAAATTTTCAAGGACGTTCGGGCGCGGTGTCACATAAACCAATAATCTCACATGCTACATTTAGTGCATACACAATTTTTGTTTTTGTTTTTTTAAAATTCATCACATTAATCTCAAAAATAATATAGTTTAAAGCATCACACACAAGCACGATGTTTCTTTAATATCAGAAAACCATGTGCTCCACTATTTTAACATATGCATAAACAACAAAAATTATAGAAGCCATTTATTAACTCAAGGTAGCTAATAAGCATGACGACACAATTAGCAACATAAAACACGATGATCCACGTCAAAATCAATTTCACCAAATTTACGTTTCAAATAATATAATTTTCCCCTTCACAAAAGTATTTCTTGTCTACCGAGAAATTTATTTTCTCTTTTTATGCCAAGTAATAAGATTTTAGCTAAGCACCCCGAATTGGGAGTTTTTGTAATATCTTGCTGACCTCTCCCCGAATCTTTATCCATATTACCTCCGTAAATTATACGGTACAGCCGGTTGTACCAAGGGCATGGTACAGCCGGCATTTTGGTAATTAGTTACAACTTTAAGGGTTATACTAAGGGTGTTAGTTACTGTAGCTCTATTATTTCCACGGCACGCACTTCGTTTTTTCTTTAGCTGACATTCTGTTAGTTCGTTATCTTTCCATCGTGGCTTCTCCTTACTTTGTTTTCTTATTTTCTTATTTTTATTGTTTCTTCTCCTTGCTTTGTTTGTTTTTTCTTTAGAAAACTTATAATTTAATTTTATATTCAATTGTTATGAAAATATATAATATAAAATGTTATGTAAAATATTATTAATTCTCACAGTTTTTATTTCTTTTTCCGATCAACCTTTTAACATAATTTTTTTTAGAATTTATGTATTACAAAATATTTTGGGTATTAATGCCTTTTTTCTATTTTAATTTAGGGTAAATATCTATTACTTTATTAAATATTGTGTGTTAATTACTAATATGATTTTTGTGTTATACTAAAATGAGCATAGTGTTAAATAAATATGCACGTGTAAACATTATAAAAAGAACTCAATTATATTTGTAATTCAAGCACTAAAGACTATAAATTATTTTTAATATAAAATTACTATATTTGTTATCACTATATTTGTTATATTCGAATGAGTTTAACAATTAAAAGAAACGAGCACACTGAATATTTAAGCATATACTCCCTCCGTTCCAGGGAGAAGTTCCCGGGTTGACTTTCACACATATTAAGGAAATAAAGTTACTGAGGGGTAAATTTTACTGTTTGCCACTGTTTCGACACTGTTTCGACACTGTTTGGCACTGTTTTGTACTGTTTTGATGTAGGATAACTTCCCATTTAGGGAAATGAGAACTTTTTGTTGGGACTTGCCAAAAAAGGAAAGTGGGAACTTGTCCCTGGGACGGAGGTAGTATTAGAGAGTTCAATGAGCTTTTTAATTTGTTGATGCTCATTTTGTAAGTTATGTATGCTCATCTGGTAATGCTTTTATGTTCATTTCAAAATTCCAAATCAATGCATATTTCAAAAAATCATATTACATTACAATCCCGATACTCAATTGCATGCTTCTAATACTTAATAGAGTAAGTTTGATGCTCAATGAAAATGTCTTGATGTACAACTAACCAAGTTTACGATTTTCATATCAATGCTCATTGCTCATTTTGTAAGTTACGTATGCTCATTTGATACTGATTGTATGCTCATTTTAAAATGTCACATCAATGCATATTTATAAAGTATCATATTACATTAGATTCACGTGGAAGTTAATTATAGATACGGGAGCACAAACCATTATGTCATTGCATGTTCTAATACTCGATAGAGGAGATTTGATGCTCAATGGAAATGTCTTATACTCAACTACAAAACACTTATGATTTTTATATCAATGCTCATTTTGTAAGTTACGTACGCTCAGTTGGTATTCATGTTATGCTCATTTTTAAAATATCATATTAATGCATAAACAATTATGATTTTTATATTAATGCTCATTTTGTAAGTTACGTACGCTCAATTGGTACTCATGTTATGCTCATTTTTAAAATGTCATATCAATGCATATTTCAAAATTTCAATATTACATTAGATTCACATATTGAAGTTCATAGAAAATGATTATGGATGTCATTTAATAAATCTTTATAAAAGAAGAAATAAAAAAATGAATTAGAAAATAGGAAGCACATGTCATTATAGAGTGAAATGAGTTTTTTATATGAGCACAATGTTTAACATAAATGTGCATTGATGTAACATTACGAAACTTATTAATTGTTATATGTCTTATAGATATATATTAATTGATAGTTTATTAAATAATTTATTCTAAATAAGAGTCAATTTTAAGAGTCAATTTGATATAAATTTTCCGTGAGCATTATTCTAAATTTTAAGAGTCAATTTGATATAAATTAAGAATTATAAATATTAAAAAAACAAAAAACAAAATAGCATGAAGAGAAAGCATGGTGAAGTTAAACGAAATGATGAAGTGAATTGAAGTGGAAGCATGGTGAAGTCAAAAGAAGATGGGCAACGTATGGAGCTAGGAGTTTAGCTCCAAATAGATGGGCAACGTTTAGCTCCATCTTCTTGTTTTCGCGTAGCTCAACTGGTAGCGAGGGAGTGCCACAAGGATTAGGTCTCAGGTTCGAATCCCGACAACTGCGATGATGGGTTACTATGCTGAAAAATGCATAGGGCTTCTGCAAGTACCTGGGACAGAGTCTCACTCTCTATCTGTCAGATTTTGATTATAGTCCAATTTACATCCTCTCATTCCTGTCGGTCAGGGACGAGGTGTCATTTTTTTTTTTTTTTCGGAAAAAAAATGAAAAGTAGTTTGAATTTTAAAAAGTGTAGGTAGAGGAATCAACGAGCACTCGTTTTCTGAATGGAGCTAGCTGTATAGTTCCTCCTTATAATCACCCCTCAAGCAAACACAATCAATCACAAGATCAAATAAAAAAAAAAATTGCCCAGTTGTGCCTAGCTAAAACCAAGAGCAGAAGGCGATGGGTTCTGAAAAGGCTCAATTGAAATGTGCATCATCATCCATGGAACTGTTGTGGAAAATCAACTTCTGTGCTTCTTCTTCCACCCCAGCAGCAGGAGGAGGCATATGCCCTTGAAACAAAGCCATGTGTCCGACCGAACAGCTTGTCCTTGCGGGAAAAGCTCGTTCCACATGAACATTTCCATTTCGTTGCTCCGCAATGCTTCAGATCCGCCGCAGCTCTTCTGGTACGCTTTGGGGCAATGGCTTCGCTTGAAGTGATTCTTCGCGCATGTTGCGGACTTCAAGCCCCGGTGCGATTTGGGAACGGGCACGAGAATAGATGAGATTGGGGGCGCCAATTCTCCGCCGGCCGCTTCGCCAATGCCTCCGCCGTCTTGTATTGGTTTCCGTGAGCTCGCATGTGCATCCGCAGATTCGCGTCTCGCTTGAACCCTTGGATTCGCCGCCGCATCCATCTCGATTATCTCGGGGTCAGCTATTCCACCGCCGGATGCGATCAGAGAGACGCCGTTGGCGATTATCTTGTGGATGGCGTCCGTGAGCTCGGCTGACACCCTATCCATCTCGTCTCTCACCAGAGGGTTGTTGCTGTTAACCGAGTTTGACAGCAATTTCTGTAGCGAGTCCACCCGTTTTCGGACGGTGGAGAGGTTACGCAGTTGAACCCTAGGATCACTCACGGCGGCTATCTCTGCTGGTTTCGGGGCGGCGGCTGGATCGAATTTGGATCCTCTCCGTAACTGGAGAGTTCCAGTATGAGAGATATAGAGAGGAGAGAATTAAGGGTGGGATAGATTGGTGAGTAGGATAGAGAAAAAGGTAGCGATAGATAAGAAGTAAAAAAGAAATGGAGAGGAAATGGAGGGAAAGAAATGGAGAGGAGCTGAACTAGGCTGGATCACCGGACATGTCATTATCTCTTACCAAGGAATAACTATGAAATTAATAATTAATAATATAATAACAGTAATAATAATGTGCATTCGCAAAATAAATTAATTGATTTATAGAGCAGAAATTAGAGCACTCGCCCGGCCAATGAGGCAATGATGATGATGATGATGATGTACAGCAAGCAGGTCATAGCCCGACAACAATAGTGGTGCAGACTATCATGGCGCATCCTTTTTTTTATCGAAAATGCTTAATGTACACAGATTATACACATTTTGTACACAGTATATATAGTTTTTTCACCTTTTCATTTTACCTTTCATTTTTCTCCATTTTCAATTTCACCCCTTTCTCTCTCCCATCTCAGGCCTTTGCCCTCTTCTGCCACGGAAACCCCTCCACCACTTCAGTTTTCTCCCATAGTCTGTAACAGACCTCCACCCCTCTCCCGTCGTCTGTGAACCCTCATCTTCCACGAAATTTAAAAACCCTCCCCCTCTGCTTAGTAATTAATATGTATAATCTCTTATCTTTTTTTTCTTATTCTTTTGGTTGTAGAAGACGGGATGACAACGCTCCTGTTATAGACGCTCCTCGGGACTTCGCCCTAGCCCTAGCTAAGTCGATAAGTCCTCTCCTTTCCTTGGATTCGTAGCCGACGAACTGAGACGCTAGCTGGAATGTTAACTTTTTCAAGAAATTTAAATTACTGGAGAGTGTGAACTTTA